AGTTTTGGTTTCGGCAGCTGAACTTTCATACTCACAGCTTCCATTGGAAACATGAAATTTACAAATTCTAGTTTGTTGAAACTCGCATGTTCAAAAGATAGACATAAAACCAGATTTTGTGGCTTCCATGCACCCTCATGGAAGCCATGAATTTGGAAGCTTAGCTTTGGAGCTTAAACTTCCAAGAAACAAACACAACCTTAGATTTAATGTCCCAATGGGTATGGAATTAGCGGTAGCTTCCTCTTTGCTAATGGAAAGATTAGCATAAGGCATAAAGCATAGGTTTTACCATCTACACTTCAAATCGCATTGGAAATTGATTTTTGGGCATTGGAAAACCTTAGTATACATCATATCAACCAAAAAAATTGTGGATAATAGAAAAAGGATTTCACACTGGCACTCAAAACAAAAAAAAACACTCCATAAAGAGTGTATCTTGCAAAACATCATATGATTACACATTTTTCGCTAAATTTGCATTACTTTTGGAACTTCAAATTTATTGATTAAGAGCAAAAGTAAACATTGGTTTCCAGGTGAAAGTATGTTTCCCTTGGGGCTTTTAGGTGCGACTCTAGTTTTAATAGTTTAACCTTGGCCTTACTGTCGCCCCAAAATGTTCCTACACGTTGTCCATACAGTGCCTTTTACAATATGCACAATAGCCTCTCTTTTTTTTATCACTTATTTCTAAAAGGTTCTAGAGAATTCTAGTTGGTTCACAAAGGATGTACAAGGTTTTTAGATCTATACTAAGAAAAGGGCTAGAAGGAATTATCTAGAATGTTATAGAGGCTAGAAGGTTTTTAGTCGTTGGATGTACGACGTATATTAATTTAACCATTGGTTGCAGTGCCTAGTGCTTATATAAAGGGAAGGACCCCTAATCTATAACTGACCTTAGAACTTGTAAGCATTTGAGCATTCTAGTGGAATACTAAAGCCTATTCCTATTCAACTTGTGCATGTGTCCCTCTCTTGTATGCTAGTACCTATTGTGCTTGTGTGGGTGGCGCCAATGTGTGAGAGGTGCGCACTAATGGTGGCTATCCGTTTGTGTTGGTTGGTACGCACTTGTGCTCGTGGTGGGGAAGGTCGCCTTGTCCTTGATGGACTAGGGTGTGAATGCTGCACAATCGAAGAACATGGCTTCAATAGGGTCGTGCCAAGTGGTATCAAAGCCAAGGTTTGAGGGAGCCATTCAACTTGGTTCGTGGTAGCTAGCACGTTTGTGGGATAAGAGAGAATGACCATGTCTTTAGGGATGACCGATGGTGATCAGGCTCGAGGCAACATCAACAAGAAGGAAGGGAAAAGGGACAAGCCCAAAGTCCCCTTGGCAGCCATGGAGAAAAAGGTTGTGTGGCTAGAGCTGGTTGTGGGTGATTGGCAAGACCAATTTGGGGAAATCAGCCAGAGCATGGAAGGCCTCGATGTTGGGCTCAAGGACGTCAAGAATGGCACATTGTTAGTCTTAAATGCGATTATAGATACTCAATAGGAGCAAGAATCCTTCGAGGGCAAGATGATGGAGCATCTTGGTGAAACTACAAGAGCAGCTAGAGGAACTGAGAGGTGACCTGGCTCTATGCATGAGGGCCATGAGCAATAGAAGCATCACGACTCAAGAGGTTCCTAAGGTACGCACACCCTAAGTTCTTTAATGGTTCGAGAGATCCTAGGGAGCTAGATAACTTCCTATGGCATATGGAGAGATATTTTGGGGCCAAATCATTGAGGGATGAGAAGGCAAAGGTAGATACACCACCATATACCTCACAGACATAGCTACATTATGATGATGAAGAAGGCATACCAATATCGAGCAAGGGACTTGCAATATTGATACATGGGATGACTTTAAGATGGAGATCAAAAGTCAATTCTATCCCGAGAACATTTGAGTATGTGTCCCATAAAAACCTTAAGCGGTTAAGGCACACAGGGTCCATCTGTGGCTATGTCAAGGAGTTCTCCACCCTCATGTTGAAGATCCCTAACATGGTTGAGGACATGTTCTTTACCGTCATGGACAGGCTGCAACCATGGGCTGAATAGGAGCTCCAGCGACATGGGGTGCAAGACTTAGCATCAGCCATGGTAGTAGCCGAGCAATTGGTGGAATTCAAAAGAAGCAATCTCTTTGAGCAACGACCTCCCAAGAATGGTTATGATAAAGGTGGGGGAGACCATGGAAGTGTCTCTAGCCCCAAAGGAGGGCCTAGCAAGCCCTTAGGGTGTAAAGGCCACAAGGACGGGCATGGCAAGCGCTGAGGTTGGAAAAGTGGCAAGGATCGCCACAATGGCAAGGGCCAAGGGGATGGGTCCAAGTAACGAAGCCTAAAGTGGTTCATATGTGAAGGACCACACCGGGCATAGGATTGCCCTAAAATGAAGCCCATAGTGCACTCGTGGCAAAGTTAGACAACCCTAAGGATGGGGGAGACATCTAAGAGTCTCATATGGGGCCTCTACATCTCTTCAATGGGATGAAGGCTGAGACTAAGAGACCAAAGACCCTGAACAAAGGTCTTATGTATATGGAGACTCAAATCAATGGTAAGGCCACAAAGTCCATAATCGACACACGAGCCATCCACAACTTCATCTCCACTGAAGAGGCTAGGCGGCTGGGATTGAAATCTAACAAGGAGACAGGTTGGGTAAAGACCATTAATACAGAGGCCAAACCCATCCGGGGTGGAGATATTCCTTGTAAGGTAGATATGTTTGTTGTACCTATGGATGACTACCAAGTGGTCATAAGGATGGGCTTCCTAAGTCAGGTAAGGGTGGTGCCCATGCCATTTGCGAATTCGGTGTGCATCATGGAGTAGGGTTCTCTATGCATGATGCATGTGGTGCAAGTCACCAAAACTGCTCATAAGACCATGTTGACTATGCAATTCACCATGGTGGGTGAGCTGACTCATGAGGTTGCAATGGTGGGAGCACCTAAAGAAGGGGACCCTATGGGGATGCCTCCTACCATGAATGAGCATGCATGGGAGGGATCCACGGACGGGATGTCACCAAAGTAACTTAAAAGGTATATTCTGGGAGGGAGGTAGGCCATGAGATTGTTGGGATACAAGGACCAAAGTCATTGGCAATGGGCCATGACAAGATGGCTCATTTGGAATTGAACGAATCAAGGAAGAACCCCAGTCAAGTTGCAAAGCAATGCCAAGAGAAGACCAACATAGCTCGCACATAAACTACCAAGCAGAGACAACTGACTGGAAGGTGTATGGATGAGGATCGCACCGCGAGTACTTGGCTAAGGGAAGAAACCAGTTAGAACGAGAGGCAAGCTGGGAGCACGCAAGGACACTATGGCAACTCGAGCACCATGATAAATCATTAAAGAAGTACTACGAGGGCATTGCCAAATTAGGTGGGGGAGAATGCCACGCCCCAAAATGTTCCTACGCATTGTTCCTACAATGCCTTGTATAATATATACAATAGCCATTTCTTTTTATCACATGGGTTCGTAAGGTTCTAAACTTTAATTAAATTGTTTCTAGATCTATCCTAAGGAAAGGGCTGGAAGGAATTGACTAGAATGTTGTAGAGGCTAGAAGATTCCTGGTCGTTGGATATATGATATGTGTATTAGTCTTGACCATTGGTGGTAAAGCCTAGTGCCTATATAAAAGGGAGGACCTATCATTTGTAACCTACCTCAAAAATTGAAAGCATTTGAGCATTCTAGTGGAATGCTAAAGGCTCTTCCTTTCAACTTCTATGTGTGTCCCTCTTTTGTGTGCTAGCGCCTATTGTGCCTGTGCGGGTTGTGCTAATGTATGGATGGGGCATACTAGTGGTAGCTATCCTTTCGTGCTTGGTTGGTGTACGATTGTGATTGTGGTTGAGAAGGTTGACTCAACCTCAACGGACTGAGATGCGAGTGCAGCGCGATCAAAGCATAGGGCTTCACTAGGGTCGTGACATTACGCTCCCACACCATCCACTAATAAGAGAGGTATATTTCACACTAACGGGGGGTTGAGTTGGGTGGATTTAACTTCTAATGAAGGTTTTATTTTGAACTTTATTTAAAAAGTGTATATAAGTGATTCTGCTGCTGTTTTCCACTTCTCCTTAATAATGCGATGAACTATTCAACATTTTCCCCAATTACAACTATTTCATCTCATGATAATGTGTATTTTAATAGGCATTTCGAAATTAAATCAAAATACACATTATCCCCGTATAGTACAAATTAAATCAAAAGATTCCACTTCTCCTTAATAATGCAATGGCCTATCCACACCGGTACTAAACTTTTCATATTGCGTCCTATTGTCTACCTATACTTCACTCTATTACAACTCTGCATTGCCGATAAAGTTTAAAGATTGATTGTACAATGGAGATATACAATGCACAATTTCAATGTGTTCGTGTTCTAGATGGGGGTTACATAACATGTCTTTGATTCTGATGCTGAGTAAAATAACATCTCATGTTTATATTTTGGATGTCTACACAATGTTTATACTTCAGATTGAAACATTTTGTTAACATCTCCTTAACAGTCAATCAGATGTCATTCCTTGGCTCAAAGTACTTTGAATTGAACCTTGGTATAGTATATTTTTCTGTCGTATTTTATGGTTTGAACTCTAATCAGTTTTCTCATCTATCTTTCCTTTCTGTACTATAGCTAGAAAAGCTTTAAGCATTGGTGTGAACTACGGCACACTCGGTGACAACCTTCCTCCACCAGACCAGGTTGCCAACTTCCTCAAAACCCGAACCCACATTGACAGTGTCAGTATCTTCTCCGCTAACCCTGTCATCCTCCATGCCTTTGTTGGCACCAGAATCTCTGTCACAATCACCGCTGCCAATAATGAGATTGTTCGCCTCTCGAAACCGTCCTTTGCCTCTAATGGATGGCCAAACATGTGCTGCCATTCACTCCCGCCACGAAGATTGCACGCATTCTCATCGGAAATGAGGTCTTGGTTACAGGAGACAAAATGTTGATTGCCCACTTCGTCCCTGCAATGAAGACCCTAAAATATGCACTAAATGCTCGGAATCTGACACACATTCAAGTTTCCACCCCACACGCTCTAGCCATGCTATTTGTCTCAAACCCTCCCTCTGCAGGTCAATTCCGACAAGGCCTTGACAAGGTTGTGCTAACCCCCATGATAGCATTTTTGCGTCAAACACGAACACCCTTCATGATCAACCCCTACCCTTACTTTGGCTTTGGGCCCAAAACCCTTGGCTGGGCACTTTTCAAGAGAAATTCTATCGAATTTGACCATATTAGTGGCAAGTATTACACTAACATGTTTGATGCACAAATAGATGCAGTATACTCAGCACTGAAGCGTTTGGGTTTCGGCGATGTGGGGTTAGCAGTGGCAGAGACTGGGTGGCCATCGGCTGGAGAGGCACACCAGCCAACAGCCAACCTGAGGAATGCAGGATCTTATAATCGGAATTTGATACGACATATCATGTCAGGAGAAGGCACACCACTCATGCCCAGGCGTCGATTTGAGACATATATATTTGCATTGTTCAATGAGAATCAGAAGCTAGGCTCGCTTGCTGAGCGCAATTTTGGTTTGTTCAGGCCAGACATGGCGCCAGTTTACAATTCCGACATTATGCGAGATCAAGTAAGTTCCATTTTCATTATAATTTCTAGTTATTTAGAAGCCTCCTAGCCCGTCCATTCAAATGTTGATAGGGTGCTATGAACTTTAAAATGCTTGGGGTCATGCCCTACCTGATCAGCGCCCATTCTCTTCCGCAACTATTTTGCCCTTTTGATCAAAGTGAAGTTTTCCTTGTTCCTTTCTCGGCTATATTGCAAAATAGTGCTGATCAGGTGGGGTGCCATCCGGCCATAAGACAGCGCACACCACCCCTAACCATCGATCCAATGTTTGTCTCTCTTAGTGTTGTACATGTTCAGTGTGTTGTCACCCTGCCTGAACCTACTCCAGACCATTGCATACTCTATAGTTATCTACATCATTGGTAATCTCTCTGTTTTATTTGACTGTTAATTTCTTCATTCCATTTTTTACAAAGGTATTGTACAATACATTCCAATGTATACACACACTTGGCTACTAGAACAAAATTGTAGCCCAGAAAAAATACAAACAAAATTACAAATTTACAAGCACAATTACCTGAACATCTCTCTGCTCCTAACTATCCAGTTATCAACAATTCGCTCCTTGTTGCTTCCACTCCTGCTAGGTCATCTGCACCATTCTTTTTTCTATAGACATATATAAATACCACTTCCTTTTCTTTTTAAATATCTTATATATCATTCCATAACACCCTCTCTTCCTATGCTAACTTTTTCCTCTTTGCACCCATGATTTGCATTCTTAGAATCTTCTTCAAAGACTATCTTGCTAGTATTCTGCACTGATAATTTTGGTCCTTGTTTAGAGTATCAGTACTCTGTCTCTCTCTCCATTGAATGTAGAAATTAGCTCTTAGTAACTTCTCCTTCCTCTTCACGCATTACCTCATTGTAACCAAATAAACTTACCAAATTCCACACCTGCCTGGAATCCTTGAGTTTTCTTGGGTCATATAATTTTCCTTTGAGAGATTGAGATACTACATTTTGCAACTCTTTGAATCATTTCTAAAGAGGACACCATAGAGTCACTGGTTTCTCTTAGTTTTACGTTAACAAGCTTTTGTGACACTACTGTGCAGTCTGGAGCTCCAAGGAAGAGACGTTCACGTCGAAGGCATAGAACGCCCACACCATCAAGGTCCCCAAAACAATGGTGTGTGCCAAAACCAGGGGCTGGAGTCAATGCCCTACGAGGGAACATTGAATATGCGTGCAGCCACAGTGTGAATTGTGGCCCTATACAGGCAGGTGGTGCATGCTTCTCCTCAGACACTGTCCAATCCCATGCTGCCTATGCCATGAATGTTTACTTCCAGCTTGAGGGGAGGCACCAATACAATTGTGATTTCGCGGGTACTGGATTCATCACCACAAAGGACCCAAGTGAGTCTCTCTCTCTCTC